GTCTTCGGAGGCTGCTCGTCACTTGCAACCTGCCGTCCGACTCTTCTTCTTCCGCCGACACCACTCCTCCTTCAGGACCACCCTGGACCCTCACTCCCCGCACCGGGGCTGGACTTGGTTGGCACTGGGGGGAGCACAGTGGCAGTGGCCCCCTTGAAACAGGCCTCAGGAGTGGGTGGTCTCCACGGGGCCCCTCTGGCTGGGTGCTGTCAGTCTTTCCTACTCAGGGAAGCATTTTTTCGGTGCCCCTTCTGCAGTTTCCATTATCATCCACTCTACAGGAGCCCCAACAGAAAAGTCAGGCCACAAAAGAACAGGCTCCCTCCTCACATGAACACCTACTGTATGCACACATTCTCATGGGCCCTGCCAAGGTACATGATGTGCCAGAGTGGGGAGCAACTACTCAGCCAGGTACCTTTGTGCAGTGAGCAACCTGCACAATCATACTCGGTGAGACCATCATCTCCCTACGTGCTCTTCTGGAAAGTGGCTCAGAACAGGGAAGCAGCACATCCAGGAGCACCTGTGTGCAGGTGGCCCTGGGTTCCATCCTCAGCACTGCAAAAAGAGAAAAATTTTAAGAAGTAGAAGCCAGGTGCAGTGCAGTGGTGCACATCTGTGTGGGGACAAGGGGGGATGGCACCTAGGGCGGTCTGTGGGCCTGCATCAGCCCAGAGGACATGGGGGTACACAAAGCAGTGGAAAGGCAAATGGATCCCCACCTTGGATCAGAGGAAGGGCCCACAGTGCCCTGCCAGCTGCTACGGAGGTTCCCCTCTTCCCAGTTTCTCAGAGGCCAACCTTGAACTCCCTACTAAGTTCCTGCACAGGAAATCCTCTCTCACCCTCTCTGGACCCCAGTTTTCTCCTCAAAATAGGATTGAACCTAGGGTGCTCTATCACTGAGCTCCATTCCTACCCCCTCCTTTTAGTTGTAGATGGACACAACACCTTTATTTCATTCATTGATTGATTTTTATGCAGTGCTGGGGATCGAACCCAGTGCCTCACAGGGGCCAGGTAGGTGCTCTGCCACTGAGCCACAACCCCAGCCCTCTCTAGCCCTTTTTATTTTTTAGCCTGAAGCAGGGTCTCACTAATTTGCCCAGGCTGGCCTCGAACTTGTGATCCTCCTGCCTCAGCCTCCCAAGCTGCTGAGATGACAGACGTGTGTCACTATGCTCTGTCCTCCAAAACTCTTGATACAGAGATCTCTGAAATAAAAGGGTTTATTGAACCATTATGGATGTGAGCCAGATGGTGAGGGACAGGTTCCTACAACCACCAGCTGCACGGCTGAAAAGCAGCTGGGAAAATGCCCACCACATCTAAAAATCTGGAGTTATTATAATTAACATTTTGGGGAAAAGAAAGCCTAAATTGTTCATATTGAATCTACACTGGCTATCGATAGATAAGAGGGGAGGGACAAGGTGAAGCCAGCGGAGTTGTGGGACAGAAGGGCAATTGGGAAGAAGAGTGGCTGCTTCTTGACTGGCTGGGGCTGTGAAATGCAGTGACATTTTGGATCAACTCCTGGGGCTCTGAGTCAAAGCTTCAGTATGTTTGGGAACATGGAGCTGGGCTGGGGACGCAGCTCAGTGGTGGAGCACTTACCTTGTGTGCAGGTAGCCCTAGGTTCCATCCTAAGCCCTGCAGACAGAAAAAAAAGTGGAAGCCAGGTGTGACCGCACACACCTGTAACCCCAGCTACTTGGGAGGCTGAGACAAGACAATCACAAGTTCCAGGCCTGGGCAACTTAGCAAGACCTTAACTTCAAACGAAAAATGAAAAGGGCTGGGGACGGAGCTCAGTGGTAGAGCACCCCTGTGTTCAAGTCCCAGTACCAAAACAGATAAGCAAACAAACAAAACCACATTTTTGTTGTTGTTGGTTTGGCTGAAGCTGTTAGCTAATTAACTTATTTCTCTTCCTTTCCATCTTCCTCTCAACTTCGTAATTAAATTTAGGATATCCCAGAATTGTTATCTTTCTTACTTACAAAGTAAACCCTTGGTATCCAGCCAGGGTGGCCCGGGAGTGGGACAGCACCGCACTGCTCCCTGTACCTATATGCATACATTCTGGCAGAGGGAAGATCCCAGCTCTCTCAGTCACAAAATCTCAAATCACACCCCACTCTGAGCCTCATTTTCCAGTGCATAAAGGCAGAGAATCTAGCTGCTAACGGAGAGCCCCCTTCGGAGTCAGGGAAGGGGCACCCTTGCCCCCTGCCCTGTTGGCCACCACTGTGCTTCTCTCCTCTCCCTGCCAGGGAAGAGGGTATAGGTCCCTGCCCTGGGACTGCCCTCCAGGGAGCATCTTGCTGAGTGGTTGCCAGCCTGGCAGGCGCGAGGAGAAGAGGTGAGGTGAAGGGGGAACTCCACACTGTGCAGAGACCCTGGCCCAAAAGACTTTTCAAAGAATCTGCAGCGGGGCCAAGCGCTCCTGGCAGGAACGACAGCCGCCTGCGGGGCTGGGTGCGCTGGGGAGCCCGGCCGCCATCTAAGGGCAAGGCTGGGGACCGCGAGCCCCGCCCCCGCGTCCCGGCGACTCCAGTACCAGCTTCTGTGCGCGCCGGCCCCGCCCGCCCGCCTCCCTTTCCATCTCTTCTCCGTCTGGGTCTCCCTGTCCCTGTGTCTGCGACCCTCCGACAGTCCCGGTCCATTTGCCACGGGCCTATGTCAGGACTCGGTTTCTCTCTGAAGATTCCCCCGCTGTCCCACGGACTGTCCCGCTGGTGGGTCCCAGCAGCTCCCTTGCATGCCCCAGGCCTGGGACGCTAGGCAGGGGACGGGGCGGGGCCCTGGCGGTGGGTCCCGGGCCCCCCCACCGCCCTACTCTGAGCATGCCCCCGGCGCGCTATTTAAGGCGGCGCAGTCTCAGCCTCCCGCAGTGCCACCGCCGCCGCCACTGCACCCGCTAATCCACTGCGCCCAGCTGCCTCCGCCCGCAGGTACCCCGGCTCCGGCCCGCTCAGGGGAGCCAGGGAGGGGGGCTGCGGGCAGGGGCTGGACGGGGACCCTCAACACTAACCCGCACACCTCAAGGGGACTCCAGGTGTCCCCTGCGGAGGGGCTGGGCCAGAACTCCCAGTGCAGCCGGGCAACCCGGGACCATGAGTGAGCTCAGGGTGTAGGACCCTGGGGTCCCTGCGGCAGATATCTCTCCTCTCCTTGGGGCAGGGGTGGGGCAGCCTTGGCCATCTCCTGGCAGGGACAGGATGGAGGGCATTCAGATCCAAACGCTTTAGGGGTTGGAAGATGGTGGCGGGGGAGCTGGCTACCCTGACCCCTTGCTTTGTCTCTCTGTCCTTCTGGCTCAGCCCTCAGTCTCCCAGCCTCTCCACCTGTGAGATGGTGAGTCTCCTGTGACCCCTTCCTGCAAAGGCCCAAGTCCCTGGATAGGGGGAGGGTCCAGAGGGCAGCAACTGGCACCCAAAGGCCTAATGCTGCCCGCAGCCCATGTGGACAGCTCAGACCTGTAACCAGCTCCACCCCCTTGGTTCACCTCCAGCTTAGAGAGCCTGGCCCTCATCTGCCCCCACAGCAGGGTACCCTCAACCCCTTGACATTGATTAATTCCACCCCACGTGCTGAGCACCACTTGTACTTCTAGCACCACTATAGTTTTGGGGACACAGTAGTGAGCCCACAGTCTGGGGCATCAGGTGCTCTTTTCTGGGGAAAAGGGGCCCAGAGTTTGGCCCTGACCTTCTGGGACTCAAGCCAAACCTCTGTTGTCCCAGCCACAGATACTGTTTTGCAACCATGAAATGATCCCCCACTCCCAGCCTCATTAGCACCTCAGGGATGGGGGCAGGGCAAGCACCAGGCACCCACCAGGCCCAGAAAGACCTCACACCTTGCCAAGGTGGCCTCATCCACCCCCTGGAGTACAGGCCCAGCTGCCAGGCCTATCCAGGCCAGGAAAAATGCAAGGAATTAGTATCCCTACCTATGTCACATGGAGCCTCCCAGCAGCCCCATGTGGGAGCCAGCCAGCTTTAGAGAGGGGTAGGGGTTGGATTTCTTCCAAAGAAAGCAGCGTAGGGCTCCAGACACCTGAGAAGAAGAAACCAGCCCTGCCCTTCCTGGGCCTCACCCAGGTCCAGATCACACTAGGTCGTCAAGGCCTATTTGGGGATGACAACGAGATTCACCCACATAGTTAGGTGGCAGCAAACTCCATGCTGGCAGATTGGGTCAGTGAGGCCCAAAGCAAAATGACAGTTCCAGAGTGATCGGTGGGCTCATTGTCACGGGTTCTCTAGCCAGCAAACATTCAGAACCGTGACTGTGCCAGGCACTCTTTGGGTGCTGGGCATGCCTCGATGAACAAAACACAGAAATGCTGCTCTGGTGAACCACGCGAGGGCAGACCTGGTGCAGAGTGGGGGTGGCGGTCCAGCCAGCGGGACATTGCATCCTTCTCTCCCACCCTGGGACGCCCCAGCTAACAGTTTCTAAAGCACTCCTCCCACATTGTCCCCTGGGCAAGCCTTCACCCTCAACCCAGCTCTTCCCTCTCCAGGCCCCTTGAACATGACCCAGGCTGGGGGGGAAGGCAGGGCTTACACTGTTGGGGGACTTCGCTCCCTTGCCCACCCTGCCCAAGACCTACTACTTCTACCCCCCAGCTCTCCCTGGATCCACTGCATCCCCAGTGGGACTGTCCCCTGGGTTCCAAGGACCTGGACAGAGAGGTGGGCCCATGGGGCGGGGGCTCTGGCGTACCGCCCACAGACTGCTTCCCTGGCTCCTGGCACCAGGATGTGGGCTTGGACTGCAAGGGCTCTCCCGAGGGGGCCGAGGCCCGGGCCTGGACCGTCTACTACTACAGCCTCCTGCAGAGCTGTCTGCAGCAAGCTGGCCTTCCGGAGACTCAGGACCGCAGCCATGTGCCCCGCACAGGTGCCAGAGGGCTCCATGGGGGCAGGGAGGGGCCCTCAGCCTAGAACTTCTATCTTCCCCCAAACTATGGTGCCCTCTGAAGGTAGGGAGCTAAAACAAGGTGGTTGGGGGCAGGCAGGCATTGTTTCCAAAGGTATCGGTACCAGTGAGGTCAGAAGTCAGGGCTCTCCACTGTTCCCCCTGCCCCTGGAGATCCAGGCCTGGGATCTACTAACCAGGCAAACCACAACTCCTCCCCTGCTTTATCTGTTTTATAAATCAGGTGGCCACAAGTGATTCTGTGTGAACAGAGTTCACTATGAGGATGAAGTTCACCGATAGAATACATGAGAATCACAGAACTGGTCCCATTGTATAGACTGGGAAACTGAGGCTCAGAGAAACTTAGCTCTTCTACCCGCCTCCCTCTGCCTACAGGAAGGCCACACAGAAAGCCAAAGCTTAGGAGAGACTCACTCAGTCTATATGCCTTCTGGCCCAGCTGCAGAAAGGGGAGCCAGCTTCATAGGGCAGGATAGGCAGGTAGTTCCCCTTCCTACCCAGCCTCCTCTGTCCCCTGTACTCTTTCCTGAAGGACCTGGAGGCCCAAGGGTGAGGAGGGGGGTGGGGAAGGTACACAGAAAGACAGCACCGGGAGCTCCTGACTTGGCAATGTTCTATTCCCCAGGCTGCCCTGGGGCAGAGGTGACCTTGTGCCTTCTGGGATCCCCCAGCACCTTTCTGTCTGTGCTGCTGGAGGGTGGGGTGCAGAGCCCGGGTGAGTGTGTACCCAAGTTCCCCACCCCCTCCAACAGAAAGGGCAGCCCCGCCCTGGCCCAGCCACATCCCAAAATACCCTCCAACCCTGGCAACTGCCCACATTCCATGGGACCGGCTGCCATACTCTGATTAGGGGTGGGTTCTGGGAGAAACTGCACCTCACAACACAGGGGCTCTGGCTGGAGGTGGAGGGCATTGGGGCATTAAGCCACCCCTGGCCAGCCACCCGCCTCCCTCTGTCTACAGGAAACATGCTCCTTTGCCTGTCCCCTGCTTGGCTGACGAAGGTAGCAGCACCAGGGCAGCCGGGTGAGGCGGCCCTGCTGGTCTCCAAGGCTGTGAGCTTCCACCCAGGGGGCCTGACATTCCTGGATGACTTTGTCCCCCCTCGGCGTGCCACCTACTTCCTGGCAGGCCTCGGACTAGGGCCTGGCCATGGCCGGGAGGCAGCAGAGCTGGCCCGAAACCTGACTTGCCCCACAGGAGCCTCGGCAGAGCTGGCCCGGCTGTTGGAGGACCGGCTGCTGATGAGGCGGTTGCTGTCCCAGCAGGGTGGTGTGGCTGTGCCAGCTACCCTGGCTTTCACCTACAAGCCTACAGGGCTGTTGCGGGGAGGAGATGCCAGCCCGGGACTACGGCTGGTGGAGCTGAGTGGCAAAGAGGGCCAGGAAACACTGGTGAAAGAGGAAGTAGAGGCCTTTCTGCACTCCGAGGCCCTGGGTGATGCCCTGCAGGTAACAAGCTCCTGATGTCTTCAGGTGCCAGCAAGAGGAGACCCATGAGTCCTGATGGGAAGCTGTGCCCAGGTTTTAACCCTATCATTGCTCCATCCCTCTGGGGCAGTGCCCTGACCTCTTAGCTCAGCTCAGTCATTGGCACCAGTGGCATAAGCATCTCACCTATGCAGGTATATGGGTGGTGGTGAGAAAACCCCTTTCCCCTTCCTGCTGTAGGTGGCCGTGAAGCTCAGTGGCTGGCGCTGGCAGGGACGGCAGGTTCTGCATCTGCATCCACGGGCAGAGCGGGACACAGTGGTGGACACAGTGCTGATGTTGCTGGAGAAGCTGGAAGAAGAGGAAAGTGTCCTGGTTGAGGCCATGTGCCCATCTGCCCAGCTGCCCTTCCCAGGTGAGAGCCACCTGTGCCAGCCAGGGGCGGGAGCCTGGTGGTTTTGTGCTGGACTTAGACCTCTCCATCTTCCCCCAGGCGGTCCCTCTCCCAGCCCTGAGCTGGCTGTGCGTATCTGTACTGTAGTGTGCCGGACTCAGGGTGACAGGCCCCTGCTGAGCAAGGTGAGAACACTCCCACAGAACTTCAGCTCAGCCCCATGGATCTGATGAGGCCCCTGAGCAATCTCTGGGCAAAAAGGACAAAACTCTTTGAGGGAATTTTGGTTATCCCTGGGGAAATTTCTGGGTCTGCTGACACTTTTTCCTTTCCCTTCCAATCCTCCTGAACCTCTCCTACTTTGGGAGCTTCTGCCCCAGTACTCAGCTGGTTACTAGGGCTCAAGGGGCTGATTCCTTTCCCAGAGAACTCTTGCCCACAGAGTAGGGCCTCTGATAGCCTTCCAGTGACTTGAGGCTTAGACTAGCAGGGCCTCCAGGCTGGAGATCTCAGGAAGGCTTGGGGAACTTCCTAGGTACCCAGCTCTGAGCCAATCTGAAAGGGAGAGATTCAGTACTGCCAGCAGGGAGCCAGGGATGAGGTTTCCCAGGGACATGCTAGGGCTGGGACACACCAGAGGTGCTGCAGGACTAGAAGCAACCGTGCTTGGAACTTTCTGGGAGCAGAAATCCCACCTGGGTCTGAAAGCCTGAGTCCCTGAAGAGTTCTGGGAACCAGATGGCAGTGGCTGGGGAGGGTGGTTTGAGTAGTTTGAGTCACGCTGGAGGATGCGTGCTTCTTGAAACTCCAGTGAGGGTGTCTGGATATTCACCCAAGAGGTGTGTGTGCATGGGGCAAGGGAGAGGGGCCAGTCCCCCTGAGCGGAACCTTGCCTAGGTGGTGTGCGGCGTGGGTCGTGGGGACCGGCCTCTGCGGCACCAGAACTCCCTGCCAAGTACGCTGGAGGTGGCGCTGGCCCAATTAGGACTGGGCGAGCCAGCGCAGGTGGCGGTCGTGCGGCAGCGCGTCAAGGCTGCAGCTGAAGCTGCGCTGGCTGCAGTGCTAGCGCTGGAGGCCGGCCTGAGCGCCGAGCAGCGCGGCGGGCGCCGGGCCCACACTGACTTTCTTGGTGAGTGCGGGCGGCCGGGGCTGGGCGCCTGGGGGCGAGGACCGAAGGCCGTCCGCGCTGAATCCGCGCCCCCCTGTCCGGCCCAGGCGTGGACTTCGCACTGACAGTGGTCGGCCGCGAGCTGACTCCAGTGGCCCTGGAGCTGAACGGCGGCCTGTGCCTAGAGGCCTGCGGCGCGCTGGAGGGGCTGTGGGCCGCGCCCCGCCTGGGGCCCGCGGTCGAGGAGGCGGCGGCGGCGCCACTCGTGGAGACCATGCTCCGGCGCTCGGCGCGCTGCCTCATGGAGGGAAAGCAGCTGCTGGTGGTTGGCGCCGGCGGAGTCAGCAAGAAGTTCGTGTGGGAGGCGGCGCGCGACTACGGGCTCAAGGTGGGTGGAGTCCTGGGCGGGGCCGGGCTTCGAGCCGCGGCCGGAGTGGTGGAACCGGTCTAGGGGCGGGCCTTGGGCGGGGGGCGGGGCTGGTTAATGAGGCGGGGCCAGAAGGGGCGGGGCCTGCTCTGGACATCCCTGTTAGCGATTAGGACACTAAACTGCTCTCTCCCCGCCAGGAATGAGAAGCCCTTGGGAAGAACACAAAGCCTTCCACAGAGAGGAGGCTGGAATGGATGGGCAGAAGTGGGAAGGGGACAGGGACGGGATTTAGGGTTGGTGCCAGAGCCCACGTTTTGAATGCCAGGTTAGGGCGTCTGGTTCTGTCCTGTGGAAAGGGCAGGCTCTTTAGAATTCCACACACTAGGTACCTAGGGCCCGCCCAGGATGCTGGGGAGCAGCTTACAGATCCCAAATCAAGTTTACAGCAGTGGCTTCACATTACCTGGAGCGAGCCAGACATTCTTATCCCCACTGAACAGATGAGAAAGCTGAGGCCTTCTCAAGCCTCCTCTACCACAGCAGCCTCCTCTCCCCTCACCTACAGTGAAACACCCCCTGGGGAACCCCTTTCCAGCCTTCCGGTCTTTTTGCTTCCTACCTTGAATAGTGCTTTAACTAACGGGAATGCCACCCTACTCCTGATGCCAAGTGTCCCTGTGCAGACAGGACCTCATCAGTGGCTGCCTCTGCCCTGGCTGTCAGCTGCTTTGTGTCTGTGTTTCCCCAAAGCCATAAACTTTAGAGACACAGGACTCCTCCCAGGGTACCTTCCAGTGAGCAAACCACCTGCTCCCTGCTCCAACCCTGGTGGCTTCTCTCCAAGTCTTGGTTGAGGCTTTTCTGAACTCTCTGCCATGCCCTGTGCTCTTACCCTCCTCCCCAATTCTCCCCTTCCCCCTGCAGGGCTCTGCTTTCTCCTCTTCCTTCTGGCTGACCTTATTCTTCAGCTTCCAGCTTAGCACTCTCTCCTTTAGGACACTTTCTACCCCTTCCAGGGTAGGTGTCCCACCCATTCTATCAATGAATCATCAACAAATATTTATTAAGCAGCTAGTATTTATGAGCCCATCTCCCCTTTGGGCTGGGACCACAGGACATCCCAGGCTCCATCCTGTCTCCTCAGCACCCAGCTCCTACTGACCTGGGTGTGTTGCCCTCCTGTGGTTTTTGCAGCTGCACCTGGTGGAATCGGACCCCAACCACTTTGCATCCCAGCTGGTGCAGACCTTCATTCACTTTGATGTGACAGAGCACCACAGGGATGAGGAGAATGCGAGGCTGCTGGCAGAGCTGGTACGGGCACGTGGCCTGAAGTTGGATGGCTGCTTCTCCTACTGGGATGACTGTCTGGTGCTCACGGCCCTGCTCTGCCAGGAGTTGGGGCTGCCCTGCAGCTCCCCAGCTGCCATGCGCCTGGCCAAACAGAAGAGCCGCACCCAGCTGCACCTGTTGCGCCGCCATGGCCCACCCTGGCCTGCACCCTCCATCCATGCTGTGGCCTGCTGTCCATTAGAGAGTGAGGCTGATGTGGAGAGGGCTGTCCACCAGGTTCCCCTGCCAGGGGTAATGAAGCTGGAGTTTGGGGCAGGTGCAGTGGGTGTGCGGCTGGTAGAAGATGCACCACAGTGCCATGAGCACTTTTCCCGAATCTCCCGTGACTTGCAGGGTGAGGCTGACCACCCAGGCATTGGGCTGGGCTGGGGCAATGCCATGCTTCTAATGGAGTTTGTTGAGGGCACTGAGCATGATGTGGACCTGGTGGTGTTTGGTGGGCGGCTGCTGGCCGCCTTTGTCTCTGACAATGGCCCCACAAGGCTGCCTGGCTTCACAGAGACCGCAGCCTGCATGCCTACAGGGCTGGCACCAGAGCAGGAAGCACAGATGGTGCAGGCAGCCTTCCGCTGCTGCCTGGGCTGTGGGCTGCTTGATGGGGTCTTTAATGTGGAGCTTAAGCTGACTGGGGCAGGGCCTCGGCTCATCGAGATCAACCCCCGCATGGGTGGTTTCTACCTGCGTGACTGGATCCTGGAGCTCTATGGTGTGGATCTGCTGCTGGCTGCTGCTATGGTGGCCTGTGGCCTTCGGCCTGCCCTTCCTGCCCATCCACGTGCCCATGGCTACCTTGTGGGCGTCATGTGCCTGGTGTCCCAGCACCTGCAGGCATTGAGTTCCACTGCTAGCCGAGAGACTTTGCAGGCCCTGCATGACCAGGGCCTGCTGCGCCTCAATCTGCTGGAGGAGGCCCTGGTGCCTGGTGAGTATGAGGAGCCCTACTGCAGTGTGGCCTGTGCTGGGCCCAGCCCCGCTGAGGCCCGCCTCCGCCTGCTGGGTCTCTGCCAGGGACTGGGCATTGATGGGCCAAACTACCCAGTTGCCCACTTCCTGTCTCACTTCAAATAGCATTGGGGCTAGGGGGAAGGAATGAAATGCAGGGGGCAGGGGCAATGATGCCCTCCACTCCCTGGTGATTGCCCTGCCTCTCTCCCTATTGCCCTGCCCAACCCCCAGTGTGGTCCACTCCCCTTGCCTCAGGTCTGTCACAGAATGGCAGAGCCATTGAGTCTTCTAGGCTTAAAGACCATAAAATAAGCATCTGGAGGGTAGGGGTGGGGCCTCTTGCCCTCATGAAGGCCTCAGTCCAGCCCACATCCGCTCCAAGACACTAGCCCTGGAGAAATAATAGCACATATACACACCCCCCACACACATGCACACACACTCACACCCCCCCACACACACACGCTGCTACCAACTATCCTAGATTGGAGTGAGCCCTGACCCAGGCCCTCCTCTCCACCCCTCCAGATGTTTCTCTATCTAGGAGGAGAGAACCTGGCTGGATCCCTGGACGTGGACAAATGCCAGGACAATTTGCGATTAAAGCCCCTGTTTTTCTCTTTTCCGAATTACATGAGTTATGGAGCCTATTGAAAACTTCTGGCAGTGCCCCTGTCTCAACTGAGCAATAGAAGCAGGTAGCCAGGCTACCTCTTCTCACACTTCCAGGTAGACACTATTCCCATTCTACAGATGAGAAAATGGGCCCAGAGAAGAAAAATGACTGTCGCCAAGGTCATAGCACAGTGCATATTAATACAGTGCAATGGCCAGGTTTCTGTGTTTACCAATTCTATGTGCCCATCAGCTTCCAGGCCTCCCACCTCTCTGCCCTCATTCATAAGCAGCTCTGAGACTCCTGAATACCCTGTACCTTCCCATGCACCATACACCTTCTCCACCAAGTGCTTTGGCCTCTGGCACACTTAACTAGCACAGGCAGAGGGTATCTACACTACACTCCCTTCCTCATTCAAGGAGACTGCTTTAAGGCTCCTGCCTCTGTCCTGCACAGAAGCTGTGGACAACTCTGCAAGCATTCTTTCCCCAAATAAATGTTTATGGACTAGTGGCATGTTTGGAGTCTGGAATAGGTTATCTCAACTGGACAACTCCCCCAGGCTTGGCAAGCAGAGGAAGGGGAGGGAGAAGTGGGTGGGGAATTCTGTAGCATCTTGAGCTAAGGAAAATCCATCCTACTGGCCAGGCCTCTGGGCTGATCTTTGGCAGAGGCCTGCCCTACACCTACATCAGGGCCCAATCTAAGGATTTCCTTTGGTGGGATTACAACCAGAGGCCACATCCAACCAAATAAACCTCGGCCAGCCCGGAGACCCCCAAGTTGTGCAACTGGAAGCCATGGTTCCCAATAGTCAGATCTCACACCCAGGCCTGGTCTGGTCCAAATTCACCCTCTACAGAGCCCATCCAAAATGAATCCGTGCCCATTTTAATGTGTTAATTCATTCCTTTCAACCAAGTTCTATTAAGTTCCCTTTCTGTATCAGGCAGCCAAATTACTAAATGTGTTTAAATTAGTGAAAGTTCATATTGAAGAGCTCTGAATTCTTTAGGGCAGAAGTCTGGTAACGGAGCCCAGCATTGGACAGCACAACCAGTAAATGTATGACTTGTAGGACCTCGATGCGGAGGTTGATTAAGAAGGTCCTACAGTTACTCAGGAGCGAAAAGACAAGGACGCGATTTGCCTCTCACTTGGCAGCCAGCTTGGCAGAGCACAGTTCCAGCAGATTTGAAGTTGCACTTTACAGTCCTACACCTGAGTGCACTTTTGACTCTACGCAACCAAACTCAAACTCTCCCCACCAAATTCAGACTCTCCCCAGAGCCCAAATGGGCGCCTCCAGGCCTCTTCTGCCTGGTGCAGACCGGGGAAACTGCTGGGAACACAGAGTCCTGCTGACGGAAGGGGCTGGTGCGACACTCGCGGACTACAACTCCCGAGAGGCCTTGAGGCAGACGCCGTCTTTCCTCCCCGTCAGCCTGAGCGGCCTGCGCGAGAGAGGGCGGGGTTACTTTTCGTCATCCCCGCGCGCGGTCGCGGTGGCGGTCGCTGAGTGATAACGTACATGCTCGGGACTCGGGCTGTCAGTCAGAGCCGCCAGATCCCCGTGGAGGGGCCCGCCGGGCCGGCGCGGCCATGGCGGCCGTGTTCGATCTGGACTTGGAGACCGAGGAAGGCAGCGAGGGCGAGGGCGAGCCAGAGTTCAGTCCTGCGGTGAGTGTTTCGCCTGGTCACGACTGGGTTGGAGCCGAGCTTGTCACCTGGCCGAGACCTGAGCCGTGGCTGTCGCCGCCCCAGAGTAGGCTGCGACCCCTCCAAACGCCGGTCCTCCTCACGCTCGGACCCACGCCCTCCCAGACCTCGTTCCCGGCTCCCGGCCTTTCATCCTCTGCTCCCCAGCCCTTGCCCGGCCCCTGCCCTCTCCATCCCTGGCGCCCTCCTTCCCTGGGCCAAGCAGCCCAGCTTGGGGTGGCAGGAGGTATCCCGGCACCTCTCTTGGTCTTACCTCTCAGTTTCTCACAGGACGTGTGTCCCCTTACCGAATCGAGGGCTGCCGGCCTGGAGTGAGTGAGGGTCTCTTGGGGATGGGGAATGGAGTAGGGAAGGGGACCTGGGGAGCACTGGGCCTTGCTCCCCTTAACTTCTTGTGTTCGTAGGCCCGTGGGACACTATGAGGAGGTGGAGCTGACCGAGACCAGTGTGAACCTGGGCCCTGAGCGCATTGGGCCTCACTGCTTTGAACTGCTGCGAGTCCTGGGCAAGGGGGGCTATGGCAAGGTACAGTGCCCTCATCTTGTCAGCACAGGCTTTTCAGCATAGATTAGACTTGCAAATCAGCAGAGCTTCTGATGGGATTCCATAAAGGAGAATAGGGCAAGCCCTCCAGAATCAGATGAGATCTTTACTGCCCCACCCTTGGGTGACTGAAGGCCTCTTGGTCCCACTTCCAGAGCTTGAGGGTGGGGCTTCTTGAAGATAGGGTGTGGAGAGGGAAGTTGATCCTGTCTCCCCTGCCCTACAGGTGTTCCAGGTACGAAAAGTGCAAGGCACCAACTTGGGCAAAATATATGCCATGAAAGTCCTGAGGAAGGTGAGTCATTCACTCAGCCAGCAAATATTGAGTGACTGCCATCCCAGGGTACTCTGCCAGGTTTTGGGAAGACAGCAGTTCTGAACACCATGGAGGAGTTGGGCCCTGTGTTTGGCATTTGCTAGTTTATTATCTATTGTGATGTGTGTTGTTTTGTGGTGATTCCCAAACGGGGGCAGTTTGCTGCCCAGGGGTTATTTGACAATTTTAGGCAGAATTTTTATTGTCAAGACTGGAGAGAAGAGTGCTGTGAGCATCCAGTGGCATGCTGCTTGCTTGCATAGATTGCTGCTGGACACAGGGCACAGGACAAAATCCCACAACAAAGAATTGTCTGGTCCAAGGTATCAATAGCATTGAGGTTGAGAAACTCTTTACTGAGGATAAAACAGTCCCTGAAAAGGATGACTATTGACAGCAGAATCATGGAGAGAGTCAATGGAATGACAGAAGATGGTAGAGGGTAATGACTGGACACCAAGAATACTTAATGTTACAGTCTAGCGACCTTCAAGAAATTCCAGTTGTCTTTGTCCTAGCCAGATCCTGTATAGAGGGTTGGGGAAAGCTCTAGAAAAGACTCACTGTGATCAGGTTTGACCATTGGTACCCCAGTTTCATGTAATGATTATAGGGCAGGGGACGATGATGTCACTGTGGGTCCACAGTCAGACCTAGAGTCCATACACTTTTAGGACCCAGTTGTATTTATTTATTTTTTATTTTTTTTTATAAAGAGAGAGGAAAGAGAGAGAGAGAGAATTTTTAATATTTATTTTTTAGTTATTGGCGGACATAACATCTTTGTATATGGTGCTGAGGACGAACCCGGGCCGTACGCATGCCAGGCGAGCACGCTACCACTTGAGCCACATCCCCAGCCCCCAGTTGTATTTAAATATTTATTGAAAACAAAATAATTGGGCTGGGGTTGTGGCTCAGTGGTAGAGTACTTCCCTAGCATGTGTGAGGTACTGGATTTGATTCTCAGCACCGCATATAAATAAATAAATAATAAAGGTCCATTAAAAACTAAAGAAAAATATTTTAAAAAGAGAGAAAACAAAAGAATACTATCTCCCATTTGCTCAAAGGCACTAGCTCCTCTTTTGCACAGCCTAGCATTTGCAGTTGTGTTCTGTTGGGCCATTCTACTGGAAAATAATAAAACAGAACATGGGACAAAAGGAAGAGCTTAGCTTGAGGAATGGAAGGAGTTCTGGGTGCCCCACCTTCTAACCAATCTCTGCATCTCTAGGCCAAAATTGTGCGCAATGCCAAGGATACCGCACACACACAGGCTGAGCGGAACATTCTAGAGTCAGTGAAGCACCCCTTTATTGTGGAACTGGCCTATGCCTTCCAGACGGGTGGCAAGCTCTACCTCATCCTGGAGTGCCTCAGTGGTAGGTGTGCAGGCTCAGCCAGGCCCTGGTGGGGTGGGGACCAGCACAGAAGCACTGGGGTTTCAGGAAGTCCTGAGAGGTGTGGTTGTGGAGGACATCTAGGGGACCCCTACACCCATCACCCATACATCTGTCCACTTGTCCACGTATCCCTTCATTCATTCAGCAAACGTCTGACTAGGGCCTGGTGTGTCCCTCAGCTGTTTGTATAGAAATCCAGGGGGTGATTTTACCCACTTCTGCCATCCCTTCTGTCCTGTCCTCCCCCCTGTATGTCCTACATCCAGTTAGGGTCCCATCTAGCTGCATCCTCTTTGGTGTGCCCCATCCCCTCTTCTCTCTCAGGTTTAGGTGGGGATCATAGTTGTTTCTTAACTGAGCTTGAGGCCCTGGCTCACCTGCTTTTTGGTGTTTCCTCTGCTAACTGCCAGAGTCATTTTTCTAGAGTGTGATTGCTTCTAACCCTTCCCCTCAGAATCCCGTGAGTCTCTAGCTTCCCACACAAAGCTTGGCCTCCTTGTCCACTCCCCCTCACTGCACAGCAGTCCTGTATCAGCTGAGCTCCATGGGCCTCTGCCTGCACATCCTGCACTGTTCCTCCATCTTAGCACCCTGAGCAGCCCAGCCACACTGCACGTTCTGTTTCTGGTGTTGGGATTACCTTAATCTTCCCTATCTGCACTGTAAGGTTCTTTGGCAAAGCTCTTGGAGCTGTTGCCTCAGCCTGGCATTCTAGAGCAGTGTGCACGTGTCTGTCTCCCCACTAGACTGAGCGTCCTGAGGGCAATGGCTGGGTCTCCTCATCTCTGCCCCCAGCACAGGGCCAGGCACCGAATAGGCGTCGGTAGATGTTTGCTGAATTGATTGAGTCCCCACGGCAGCTCTGGGAGGCAGGTAGGGCAGGATTTGCAAGCCCCACTTCTCCCAAGAAGAACCCAAGACTCAGAGGGAGCATTGGGGCTGGGTTCTGGAGCAGGACTGCTGATGTGATTGTGTCACAGGTGGTGAGCTCTTCACACATCTGGAACGAGAGGGCATCTTCTTGGAGGACACTGCCTGGTGGGTGTGAAACCTGCCCCTCCCCCAGAGATCCTAGCCCTTTCCCCACACCACTCTCACTCTTTCCTGTCCTTGCAGCTTCTACCTGGCTGAGATCACACTGGCCCTGGGCCATCTCCACTCCCAAGGCATCATCTATAGGGACCTCAAGCCTGAGAACATCATGCTCAACAGCCAGGGTGTGTACTTGTGCTTGCACACACTTGCAGCTGCATACACGGGGTCTGCGGGGCAGGCTGAGAGGCTGCTGATGGGGCAGGTCTGACCACCCCTCGCAACATTCTTCCACAGGCCACATCAAACTGACGGATTTCGGACTCTGCAAGGAGTCAATTCACGAGGGTGCCGTCACTCACACCTTCTGTGGCACCATTGAGTACATGTAAGTGGTGCCTGACTGGCCTAGGGGTCAGGAGGACAGCCAGAGAGGGCCTGGCCTGACTGACAGTTCCACCTGGCCCCCAGGGCCCCTGAGATCCTGGTGCGCAGTGGCC